CCCCAAAACCCCAAAACCCCAAAACCCCAAAACCCCAAAACCCCAAAACCCCAAAATATTTTGAGATTTTGAAATATAAATATTTTTGAACCATCGATCGGACAAATAATGTTTTCGAAGTTATTATTAAGATCAACACGTTCCAAGTTTGGTAGCGCAGGTCTGATTAGACCTCAGATATACCAGCCTCGGATACCACTTTCATTCACAACTTTGAGACCCTTCTCCAGTTTACAATCAAGAATGGCTATTAAGGCACAGCTGAAGGAATTTTATAAATTCACACATCCCGATTTGTTTGGGAACGCTCCAGAGAAAATCCAAGAGACGAATTCAGAGTCAATGAAAGTTTTGAATGAGTTTCTTCGGAACATTTCTACTGAGAGTACTCATGTTGATGGACTGCAGCTAACTTTCTACGTGAAGCCAGGTATTTCACCCATATCTCATTACATAGATGATGAGCTAACGATTGAAAAACTTAAGGAGAAAGGCATCAAATTCGAAGAGGCTAAAGGAGAGGTAGTTCTCCCCATTTATATATAGGCTAAGAAGGAAATTGAGAAGGAAAGGGAATCCCAATATGGAAAGATGAATATCTCCCTTGATGGGATCAAGAATACAGCTGTCCGAGAGGTCCGCCGTAAACACTATGAGATTACTGTCAACACACTCATCGAGAGCATTCAGGACTTCTGGGAAAAAGAGGTATGCTTAGCTGAATAAACTCTCTAGGAAAAGGGAGAACTTGAACTCGACGACGAGTTCGATTTCTCCACATTTGGAGAAATGAAGCATGATTGGCAGCATACTGCCAAGCCTCAGAGTAAGGGAGAGTTAAAGAGAGATATTAAAGATCGAAGAGAATATATCGAAACGAGATCGAGAGAAAGATTTTATGAAGATTTCCAAAAGCTAGTTGTCAAGAATGTATATAGAGACAAGTATGGACTCCCTAAAGATCTGAATGTCAGACCTCCTGATAAATATATGGTCCAGGCAGTCAAAGATTCTTATGTTGCTGAGAGGACAGATTTACTCCAAAAGTACTCAGTTGATCCAAACTTGGTCTTCTTCCATCACGAGCTCGAAGATTTGGAAATAGGATACTGTATAAAAAGACTTCACGGAGAGCACTTAGAGCCAGAACATAGGGAACTTTTCAAGAAGAAGCTGAACTACATCAGCCAAAAGTTGGCAGTCTCTAGACCTGAGATTATGCTAATGTTTGGGAAATTCCAGGAATACTTCGCTCTAGCTCCAGGGTTCATCCATGTGCCTATTGAATTCGAAGTAGACGAGTTCAATGAGTTCCTTAATGCTAATTTAGAGACCCATAGAGCTAAAACAGCTCGGTTTATAAGAGAATATAAAGAGTTTGAGACTATCGAGAAAGAAGTCTGCAAAATGCTTTCTCTAGAAGGAATCGAGAGGCGAATGAACAATGACTTTATTGAAATGCAAGACCATTTGTTGGCAATCAAGCATTTTAGAAAATTTGTTAAGAATAACCCTGACTTACTGTTTCCTATCTCAAGGCTTACAAGTCTGAATAGACACATCCTGATTGGGAATGAATACCAGATCCATAGCGATTATATGATAGAGATCCCATGAAAATTTAAGGATAGAGAGTTAGAAGAATTCTTACTAGAGGCACAAGCAGAGTTAGGATTTTCAGCTTAATTCAATATTTGAGGCTATATCGGGGTTTTGGGGTTTTGGGGTTTTGGGGTTTTGGGGTTTTGGGG